TTTGAGAATATTTTTCCTGGGTTGCTCAGTCGGTAGAGCGTCGAACTCAGAACCGGCAGATCTCGAGTTTAAGCCCTGGGTCGACTGATCCATCTTCCTTCCGAGACAAACCTGATCATGTTTTTACCTGCTTTATATCCCATGGTGTTAGTTGTCTGCATGTAACGAAGGACAAAGCAGTCAGCAAGTCAGCCCCTCGTCGTCTCTAAATCGCTTCTCAAAACTTAAGACGAAACCAAAGACCGGTTAATCTAAACTAGTCTACTGAAAAGTATCTGGGACCCTTGTTGAAATGTTGTGATGCTATTTACGGATGACGCGAAAATTAAATTTAGTAGGATACTACACAAAAATTTCTGACAGAATGGCAAGGTTGAATTTATCAAAGAGGATGACCGCCTTGTATTCATATAACTGCAGAACTCAAGCGGCTCCAGGTCGCAACTGAGTGAAAGAATAAAGAATAGGGTGCACTCTTCAGCAGGAACTAGAAATATATGAGGCCGTCAGAGAGAACAAAAGGATGTATTTTCTTGACATACGAACAGTGCTTCGTTTTCTCTGCTCATTCAGTATAACGAAACGGACCTCTCTCTAGCGCAAACGGTGAAAGCTGCAAAGGCGATCCAGACACGGTATAATTCGGAAAGAAACTGACCTCTGATTCTAGAAAAGTAAAGCATGGTGGAAGAGTGCCCACCGTCTGCACGCGTAGTGATCAAACACTGCCAAAGCTATAAGAGTACAGAGGATAGGTCTTAACATATGAAGAAGATATCCGCAAGAGACCATGGTCACTTTTTGAAAATCGTTTCAGCCCAGTCCTGAACTGTGTTTTGGGTGGAAAATTTCTGCAAAGATGACTGAAATGGCAGCCTCTATTAAATCACTGACAAGTGGCAGAGATGCTGGAAATGGCGATCCACCTCCTCCCCAAACCTGAGACACACTAGTGCTTTGAGAAGCGATGGTATTCGGTGGCCAAATCAGGAATTTAATCTTTTTTACGACTGTTGAGATTATCATCTTGAGCTGTTTGCATGCGCAGAACATCCACAGTTTGCGATGTCCGCAATATTCGCAGCTTTTCACCACCTTTTTTGTGATGTTGACTGCAGGTAATGCGATTTTCTAGGTTAGAAATTGTTTCATTAGGTGCGAGTTGATCCACTCGCCACCAAACCCATGTGCACGAGAGCAATAAATTTGATGCTACCACCTCTAGATAAAAAATGAACCCGATGATGCTGACATGGCAGTATCAGCGGAGTCATTGAAAATCACCAGAATAATGTAAATGCGATGTTGTCATTAAGGTGTTCTTAGGAATGCGATCAACAAGGGAACCAATGCACCCTCGTTAGCATCTCTCTGCTAAATCTAATAGGCTATTCGGAAAAGTCTGCGAAACGTGTTTCGTAAAAAAATTTCAAGATATAGCGGAGCAAAAAGTGCAAGAAAATGAATTTGACTTACATCTTGGCTGCAATACTGTAAATCTGATGTTTACTCTGCGCCAGGAATGCGAGAAATGCACGAAATATGCAAATGTTTATGCATGTTTCGCATTACTGACAAACGCTAATGAAGGCATTTCGAACGAAACTATGAAAGGTTCTGTATGAGAATATCGCCATTCTAATGCTCAGAGTACCATATCCGAATTAAATGGAAGACGATGTCTTTCAAGGATGCTTTTGCTCTGAAAAAAGTATTTGTTTTCTTCTTTCCAGTTCATAATTTTCATTCATTAAATCAACAGATGCATCCAAAGCACAAATAACGCTCCAGTTCGACAAGTCCGATGCGCTACATGTTGTTTACGTATGATCTAGTCATGATCGTTTCGGCCGAGGATGACCTACAATGTGCACTTGATTACTTCGCCGTTACAAGAGAATTAGTTTAAACAAACCCGTTGCTCTTTGTATCCCACTGCGTTCTGCAACGAAGCGGATAGAAAAGTTCAGAAATCTCAGGTTAGCATTCACGAGCTGATGGAATTATTTTGACCTTACGGAAACTTCGTTATTCAAACCTATTTATGTTCACACAGTTGCACATAAGGAGCATAAGATCTTGACGTATCGTCCACAATAAGCGCGAAGTGATTCTAGAGCCCAAACTCATGTGAGATGCATTTTGCACAACCAATACTTAAATAGATGGAGCGATAGCCTATTGAACATCAGTAGGCAACGATGCGCAAGGTGGCGGTGCAATGAGCCATGAAATCTGATCATGGAAGAGTTACATGCCACTTAACATCCTACAATGTTCAAAAACATTTTCACATTCATCCGTTGGCATGTAATAAGTTCCAGCTTTGAAACATCGTTTGTAATAAGTTCCAGGTGGCTTTAGCGAACAAGATGATACGAGATTCTTATGACACTGCAGATCTTCAGATACCATTAGCGACCTGCTTAAATAGTTTCCTACCTACTAGAAGTAAGGGAGCATTAAAGGAGAATAAAGAGTTATTGACT